ATATCTTCTTAGCATCATAATTGCGGGTTGGCAATGTGTTACCTTAAGGGAGCATGTCACTCAACAACTCAAGCAATTCCGTGAAACTTTTATCAGTCCACCCATTCTTTGCCTTCACATTGAACAATTTTAGTACCGCAGACAATCGTGTGAACTTAGTATAATTTGTATACAAAGGCTCTTTTGCATCATTGGACAACTTCTCGTACACATGTGTGTGTTGGAAGGCATCTTGTCCAAGCTCACGAATCATTTCCTCCAGTTGATCATCCATCTCTAGATCAACTTCTTCTTTGTCTTCTACACTTGCCATGTTTAATAATTCACCATGCCATGTCCACTTTATGTAACTCTTTAGGAAACCATCACAAAGAACATGTTCCCGAATAACTTCAGTCGGTAATCTTCGCTCATTCAAGCAGTTAACACAAGGGCAATAGAATCTTCCATCATTATCCGGAACATTCATCTTAGCAAATTCAAGGAATTGTTCTACTCCACTCTCATATTCATTTGTTGTTCGTCTATAATTGATCCAACTCCGATCCATTGTTACAAATCTAATTTTCAAAATCAAATTAGCTACGAAACACGAAATAACTACATTATAATGCCTACACGAAATCCAACTCCACTCTCAAAATAACTACATTATAATACAAATCTAATGTTCAAAATCAAAATCACGAAAGAATGCCTACAGAAACACATTCAAATGACTAAACTACTTACAATACATCTCTAAATTAGCTAAAGGCACCCATGATGTTTCCCTCTCTTGACAACATTATTACTTATTAGATTCAATACTGTAAACCTACATTGGCTAAAGCAAGCACGAAAACTTACCTCTTGAAGACCTACAGAGGTGGCAGGTGGCGTGACGTGCAGAGCTGGATGGGGAGAAACGTATCCCAGGCGACGGGCACCAGTAGCAGCAAGCGGCACGAAGCGTTGGCAGGTGGCGTGATGAGCAAATGTGGGTGCGGAGAAACGTATAAAAGCGAACGGGGGAGCTCTGGTATGGGTGAACTGATGAAAGGAAATGGAGCGTAGGGAGAAACGTACAGGGGAGCTCTACTATGGGGGGGAAGTGATGAAATGAAATGGAGCGCGGGAGGAGGGTAAAACAGAAGATACTATGTCGGTTGCCCTAACACCCGTCATCAAAGACACTTTCTACGTCGGTTAAAATTTACCCGACATAGAAAGTTCACTTTCTACGTCGGGTAAATGATACCCGACATAGAAAGTTAACTTTCTACGTCAGTTAAATGTTACCCGACATAGAAAGTTAACTTTCTATGTCGGGTAAATTTTAACCGACGTAGAAAGTGAACTTTCTATGTCGGTTAAATTTTACCCGACATAGAAAGTGACCTTTCCACTTACTATGTCGGTTAAAACTTACCCGACATAGAAAGTTTATGATTTTATTACAAAATTGCCACCGCGCCACATACTATGACGAGTGGATTACGACCGTGATAAAAACCCATCATAGAAAGTTATTTTTCCACTAGTGATTTAATTGATTTTTTATTAATACTTAACTTTTACCTTTATTAATCATTATTAAATCAATTAATAACAATACATATGGTTATATTTTTAATAGGGGCATATAAGAAACGTAAAAATTAAAATTTATTAAAATTGTAAAATACTTCTTCATGTTAAGGACCACTTTTTTTTTTTAATTATATCTTATAATGAAGACTAGAAGAAGTATTTATTAATTAAACTATGGGAGAAACCTCAAATCCATCTCGAAAAAGCATAAAACAAGGTACTTTGATTCCTAACCATTAAATCAAAAATTGTTTTTGAAAGTGTTTATCTATCTCTTAATTAGTTGTATTCATTAAGATTAATGTTGAATTTTGTTTTCCTTTTTTTAATACTTAGAATGACACAATATACATCATTAATGTTTTATTAAAAAATAATATTATCTAATTTTTAATTAATGTTATATAATTTAATATCTTTTGATTAAATTATATTTTTCATCGATTGAAATTTCTTTCACATAAAAATATATATTAATTTAAAACTACTTTATTTTTATTTATATAACTAAAAAATCGAAATATATATATATATATATATATATATATATATATTTAAATATATTAAAATATGAACTATTTTATTATTATCATTATTATATATAATTTTAATAAAAATTAACCTAAACAATCATAATAATATAAAATTATAATTTAATTAACAGTTACATCAACAAATTCAATTTTTATATAAAATTGTTCACTCTCAAGTAATAAAAAATATACTAATATAATATAATTTGATCTTTGACAACTCATATAAACAACTGTGAATTAATAAATTTCAACTTTTAATTTTATAAAGATAACTTAAGCTTATGTGATTATTTACCAAATTTTTCATTTGAGAATATGTTAATCCACTCAATTCATTGTAAAATATTCGATCATTATTATTTTGTTTTTAAAAAACATCTTAATAAATTAAAAAATAAAATATATATAAATTATCTCCCTTGTCAAAAACTAAAGTATCTTTTCTTTTTAATTATTTTTCATAAAAGAAGTAGAAACTCAATTATTTTTCACCAAAAGCATTTTTTTTTTTTAAAATAGTGAGAAGGAAACAATCATTTGCCCAGACAAGGATGAAAGGTTGGGTGGCCCACCACAAAGCATTCCATGAAAGATGTTATTTAATTTTAGCAGTGAGTGAGTGTGTTATGTAATCAATTGATGCCATCCAACGCTATCATTAGATAAAAAGGGAGTTAAAAGAGAAAAAAAAACTAATAAAAACAGTGAAAATATTTTTTAATTAAAAAAAGAGAAATGAAAAGAAAATATTTTTTAATTTTATTATTTATGTATTAGTAATATTATTATTTTATTTATTTATTATATTTAAATAAAAATTTAACATAAAATAATTGATTAATGAAATTATACTGAACTAAATAACTGCTTAGAATATGAATAATCTATGAGGTATTAAGGATAGATTATATTTATAATATAATCTATTATGCGTAACTTTCTTATTATTTTTTAATAGGTCCATTCATATCACTTCAATTCACTTAACAAAAAGGAAATTCAGGAAAGGAAAGGACCATAAATAATTAATAAATTAATAATTATTTTTTTATTTATTCTAGTTATAGCTGAAATTCATGTCTTAGTCAAATATAAATAAATAAATTAGTTTTCTATGCTTATCGCCAAATCGGGTGATATACGACCCCTTACTTGTCATATTCCCATCTAGTAATTTTAATCTCAAAAAATTTATTTATATTTAAATTTTTTATAACTTTAAAGGTTAATTTAATTATATAATTTTTTTTACTGATAATCAGGATCTTAAATTTAAAATTTTCACCATATTACATTAACATATTTTAATAATTTATTTAAAGAAAAGTACCTTTTTATATTTTTTTCCTCATAAATTTATCTTTAATTTTTATATTTTTAAATTGATGTAATCGATTTTTAATTTTTAAAAAATATGTGATTTTAGTTTTTTTATTTAAATTTTATATTTAATAAAAAGTTTATATAATTGGTTATAAGAGCTAGAATTTTAAATTTAAGATTCTGATTAAGATTTTTCTTTAAAAATTTTAAGCACTCTGGTTATGTGTTTTTGTTCAATTCTTCATTTATTCTTTATTTTTATTCTGATTTTATTACGAAAGAAAAATAAGATAAAAACACATTATTTTTTCATAGATTAAAATTATATAAAGATTTTAAAAAGAAATTATTTTTAATATTATACATAAATTAATTTTAATTTATAATCTTTTTATTTTTTCTTTTCTCGAAATTCTTAAAAAGAAGTTTGTTGAGATATATATCCTTTATACTTTATATATAATAATTCATTTAGTAATTAAATTCTTAACTTCATAACATTTGTAATATACTCGTATGATATGTATAGTTAATTATTATAGTATTAAATAAGTTATTATTATTATTATTATTATTATTATTATTATTATTATTATTTAAATTTTAAATATATCAATTACTTTTTATGTTAAAAAATAGAATTGGAAGGCACCCTCAATAAACAAAACTCAGTCACTTAAAAATATAACACAAGTTTAAGTCACTTATCAAGTCGTAACTACTTAATTAATTTTAAAAAATCTCCTTAAAGAGTATTGTTGTTAAGAAAAAAATTATTGTTATAATGTATTTTAAAGCATTTTTTTCTATGAATAATGTGGAATAATATTAGAGTTTAATACTTTGTGTATATTACTTAAATCCTTTGTCATTAGGTGATTCTAATGAGCTATTTGATTATTATTCTTTACTTTGAAACAATTAAAATACTTAATTGGTCATGTGAATATTATTAGTGTCACTTTTTTTAATAATTACAATATGAAATTAACTTTCTTAACTTCTTAAATTGACTTAATTAATGATAATATATTTGCAGAATGCATGTATAAGTTATGTTTCTACATTTATATTAAAATTAATTTAAAAACATTAAATCATGTTTGTTTTTTCTAATATTAAAAATATTAATATGCGACCATTGAATCTAATTTTCAGTCATGTCATTCTCAGCTTCAAAAATCACACCCCGACCCATAACTTTCCTTTGAGCCGACACATTTCTCACAGCTCTCATATGTTTATATGAAGTGAGCCACAACAAGACAAGGACTCTGGTCTTTATTTTATTTTTTAACAAGCCCTTTAGACTTTAGAGGATATCTTTGTCTTATGATGGAATAAATAATGAAAAATTTAATCATTAATAATCATTATCAATATTATTCAATATCCTAAATCTAAACCTTCGCTCATTACGGAAGCTTCAACAGTGTTCTACCTTCTACTCCACTTCTGTCCCTTCTTTATGCTGTCTGCATCTTTCCCCTGAAACGCTCAACTGAACCACCCAAGCTTGTTACTTGCGAGTGGCTAAAGAGATACATACATATAGATAAAGGTTTCAAAATGCGGGGTCCTTTGGGTGCAGTCATAGGGAGGTATCCTTCAAGTGATGGAACCACCCATTTGGGTGGAATCATTAGGCACAACAGAAAATGCAGAGACATAGCTGTTCTTGTCATTTTTATAGCCTTCTGGATTGCCATGGTTGTCAACTCTAGCTTTGCTTTCAGCCGAGGGAATCCATCAAGGTGAGGATCTTAAAGTTTGCAGCTTTATCTGATTGTGCATTGTGCTAATGGAGTTTCTGTAATTGAAAGTTGTAGTTTTAAGTTAAAATTTAAGGCATGAAATATTGACTTGCTATTTCTCAAAAGGGCTACTTTATAGTTTTTTTTTCTTCAGCTAATTTTGTCATGGATGTTTAACTCTTAACATTTTATGGATTCCCCTGTTTTTGTGTGTGTGCGCGCGTTGGGGGGTTGTTATGGTCCAACATTTTCTACTTAACCTTTTTTTCAAATTTATGGCCCTGTAATTTGCCTAATAGTTCAATTAATATACCACATAATCCGATGTTTGTTTCATCTTCTGTTATTTCATGTCTTCCTCCAGTGTACTAATGTTGTTATCTATTGGTTGCTGAGGAGCTGAAAGTCTGACAGAAGATGTGAAACTTGATTGTACAGTAATATGAAACATGTAGTTTTATTCAAGCTTTTGTTGTTGCGGTTGTGAAAGTTGTTGTCACTGGGTTCTATGTCTTACTAGGCTTACTTATGGGCTGGACTACAAAGGAAATGTATGTGGGGAGAAGCATGCAGTTCAAGATCTTCGAGAATTGGAGCTCAGATATTGGCTAAATCCTAATCAGGTTTATCAAAGTGGATTGAAGGATAGCCAATTCAAACTTGCCAATGCCCGCAGCATATGCTTGCTGGACTGCCCTATACCTTCTGAAGATTCACTTACTTGGGTGTGTGATTATCCTGAAGGAGATATTCGAGTTTCATTGAATGATTGGATTGACATGAACTATGATTATTTTGAGTTCCTTACGCCAGAAATGAGAAACTCTTCACTTCAACTTCAGGGCCCTTGTTATCCTGTCATATTTCCCAGTGTAAATGGTGAGAAAACTTTTGAATTTTCTCATGCATTCGTAAATGTTACATTGTTGCCAATGTGATATGAATCTTAATTACACAAGGGCTAATGTAGGATCTTTAGGGTTAGAACCTGTAAGAAATTTAAGAATTAGAAAGAAGGTGAAAGGAAAGAATCACTCTTCCCAAAAAAGGCAATACACAAAGGATGTGAAAGTCCTTTGATACAGCCAAGGGTTCTTGAATCACTCAAGAATTTAGGAGAATCACTCTCACTAAGATAAAAGAGATAAACTCTAATATTTCTGAATAAAATTTCACTTGTTATTTCTTGATAAAAATGGTTCAGTGATATAAAAGCGTTGCCATCAGAATTACAAAGATTTAATAAAAGAAAATAAAACTAATAATAACCCATTAATCTAGGAATTGAAAACTATTTAATGGAAACAAATAAAGGCTAATAATGATCCATTAACCTAGGAATTGAAACTACTTAATGACTTAGTGTATCTCAAACTATAGTAACCAAAAGTCAATCAGCTATGCACCCCTTGGTCTCCCAAAGGCTGATGACTAAATTTTCAATTGGGCCCTTATTACAACTTAAAACAAAATCAAACTAAAGCCCATTAATTGATTAATTCAAAACATAATTTGGTCAACCAACAATACTTGTTGAAGAGCTTCATTTGTTTCCCTTGCTCTAACCTTTATCATAGGTCATGTTTATATCACAATGTTGTTAAATATTGACACCATGGCTGGTGATTTTCTGCCACCTGCCATATGCAATTTGTAAAGTGAGGTCTGGTATGGCAGCGCTGTTGGCCAAAATGGCATGCTTATATGGCAGAATTGTTGCCTTCTGCCATTAATAACACTGGCTGTTGCATGCATGCTAATGATTGTTGCTATGGGTTGCATCAATTGTTTGGTAGGAGAGGTCAAGTGGGTCAAATCACAATCGAATTGTAACGTTTGGGTTGTGACTCTTAGGTAGAAAGAGTTATGTTTTGACTAATAGTTATAATTTTTCGTCAAGTGGTAATCGCTTAATTCAACCATTGGTATCAAAGCTATGGTCATGAGTTTTGTTGAAAAGTCCCACATTGCCTACCTCATATCATTTGGTATGGTTTAAATACATGTTAGACTAATCCACATATTGCCAATTGGTTTTATGTTGGAACCTTAACATGGTATCAGAGCCAAAGCCTAACATCTTTCCGGTTATTGTCATGGGCCAAAAGTTGCCCTTTAGTTGGGTTAAAAGTACCCTTTGCCTGGTCCGGCAGGCTTCGTTGGAGGGGGTGTGTTGAAAAGTCCCACATTGCCTACCTCATATCATTTGGTATGGTTTAAATACATGTTAGACTAATCCACATATTGCCAATTGGTTTTATGTTGGAACCTTAACAAGTTTGATTCCTTTGTATTGTGTGAATAATAGTTATGTTTAGGCTTTCTTTTTTCACTTTTCTTTCGGGGGCAGGGGAGTGGATAGGGTGTAAGGGAACTCTCCATATCCTACTTATGATGAGTTTTATGAAGTGCTTGATTCTTAAAGCATACTTTTTTGTCTAGTTTACTGGAGTTGCCAATTCATTGCCAGAGCATCAAATGTATCTTTAAAGCATTGGCAGCAGATGGGTGGAGTTAAAATCAATGAAGACATTGTTATTGATAAGTCCATTCATGAATATATCAATTCTCAGTCAGCTGTCTTAAAGGTTAATTTTTTGTACTTTCTACCTTTTTCTTTAATTGATGTTATGAGTGTTATTTTTCCTTGGAGAAGCATAACCCCCTTACCAGAAAATTTATATCAGCAAATTTAGGACCTAGAGATATCAGTGTTCTGCTGAAAATATATATTGGTAGGATAGCAGAGACAACAAATTTATATCAAGTAATATCAACATTCCCCCTTTACATATGTTTGTCAAATCAGACAAGCCTGCCAAAGTAGACATTACCTAGATGAACTATAGCCTCTTATACCATGTTACATTTCATTTTAAAACTATTTTGCATTAAGTGAAATTGTCCACCAGACATATAAGCCAAATTTGAAGAATTGTGCAAACGATGTAAGACTTCTCAATGGTTCTAACAAGTAATAATTAGATGCTTGTCGATATGCATTGTGCTATGAATTTGTACCTTACCTATTTTCACATTGCCTTCTCCCTTTTCGATATTTTCACTCTTACTAATTACAGTTGTTTAAAACTTTTCTTTGTTCTTTCATTTTATCTGTCTTTAAGCATTATATTATGTGTTGCTGAAATTTGAAGTTTCACAAATCTTACATTCGCAGAGATACATGGCTGATATAGGCAAGTCGTGGCCTGTGCTGATTGTTTGTGGAGGGATTTTACCTCTGTTTCTGTCCGTGATTTGGCTGCTGATGATTCGGCACTTTGTTGCTGCTATGCCTTGGGTTACAGTGGTTTTGTTTGATGTTCTAATTATATCCGTTACGATGTTTTTCTACCTTAAAGGTTAGTAGAATCTCCGCCGGGATATTTTGATTTCCAAATGCATATTTTTTTAAGGAAGTCGAGCTATACAGGAGACAACCAAAATATGAATATTTCTTTTTCATTATTCATTTTTCCTTTCTTCTTCCTGTATATTTAATGTTTACTTCCTTGTCAGCTGCATGGCCTATTCATTTTTGAGATCACCATTTTCATAAATGTCCTTGAGTCAGCTGTACTTTTGAATCCTCTCATCCTAATCCAATCAAGCACACAACACGTCTCTGGTCATATTTTCAGTTGACACATGTTGCAAACTTATATTTAGAGACTTAAACACAGATTTGCTTGTGTAGCAATCAAGACAAAAATTGAAAAGGAATTTTTAGACCAGAACTAGAACTTCTCCAGACATAATTTTGGTAAATTTCATGACTTGTGGTATGAGGCAGGGATCATTTGAAAAAAACGGGACAATTTACTTGTAATATGTTTTATTTTAGTAAATATTAGATTGTGAATTGTTAAAAATATATTAGATGACACAGCTTAATTTTTTTAGTGTGTATTTGATAATATAATCATTCATTGGGACTTGGAAATGATCCAGATATCCCTGATCATCTATGCATTTTGAGAATTGAAACATTGAAAAAAATTGTTTTCTATTTGGTATACAAATCATAAAATATTCAAATGTAGGATGAAAGAATGTGTATAACTGACATATAGTGTATTGATGATTATATTTGAAGTCTTGTGCTTGCTTCTATTTATTTTGAATTATCAAGGGAATTTTTTTTTTTTTTCTAGATTTTGAGCAAGCATCAATCAAACAATAATGCCTAATGATGACTTCCTGACTTTCAGTTGGCTGGATAGGAAATGATGCTATTTCCCCCATCATTGGTGAGCATGATCCTTACATTCATGTGTCTGTGAGGGTAAGTATTGTCTTGATCGAGTTCTTATATATTTATTCTCTCTCTCTATACATTGATAATTTATATTTATTTATCTTTTAAAATCATTTGCAGGAGCTAACTCATCTACGGGTTGTCACAGTCCTTATGAGCTTTATCATGCTTGTTGCCATTCTTACGTCAATTGCTATTGTTCGGCGCATTCTTATGGCAACTTCTGTCCTTAAGGCAAGCATAACTTTATTAAATACAATTATGAAACATGATTGAGTTTATTGTTTTTGTTCATTGATTGATTTCTGATTGCAATTATGTGTATTTTTATTCTAAAAAATATTTGAGGCTGAACATCCAATAGGTCAGATTTATCATGCATTTTCAATGATCCATTAAGCAATCATACATTCTTTTCCATGCAAAATTGCTTCACTTGAACTCTTGTCTTGAAATTGGTAAATATGAAAAAATTAAGTGTTAGATATGATTAGATATTAGTTGATATTATTTGATATTGTTGAGATATTGTTAGATATTGTTAATCACAATATCAAATAATATCTTTTTATTTACCCTATTTGTATTCTGTTACTCTTTTAAGGAGTACCTTTCTTTATTATAAATACACTGCCCTATGTGTGGTAAATACACAAGGGAAATTAATCCTATACAGTTTTTCCCTATATTCAACATGGTATCAAGAGCTTAAGGTCTCTTGGGATTTTTTTTGGCTCTGCCACTGAACCTGCAGCTGTCGCCGCCTCCACCACCGTCCGCCGCCGCCGTCGCCGGAGTAGCAGTTCGGACCGCCGAGCACAGGATTTTGCTCGCCTGCTCCGTGCGACCTCCACCGTGGAAGTTTCGCGGTCATCGGAGCAGCCACGCTCCCTCACGCGCCTCCCGAAGCCGTGCCACCTTCTCCCGTTCCGCCGCGCGTGGCGGCGCGTCTCGCCGTCGTTCAGGCCGCCGATCTTTGCGCCGGCGTCGCCTCCTTCTCCTCTCTCTGGATCTGTCCTCGCTGCTCCAATCGGACCTCTTTGGTGTTTTAGGGTTTTTCTCTCTCTTCCTCCATGGCATCTTATGCTTTACATGGTTATCCTCGCCGATCTGCTGCAGTTGCTCAGACTGATTCTTCCGCACAATCCTCTGCTGTGGATCCTCCTTCGTCTGTACCTTCAGACAAATCTGCTATCTTCAATGATTTTCTTCAATGGTATGAGGATCGAAAGCCCTCCAGTTCCACTACTTCTTTTGCCCACACAGGTACATCTTTTGCTGGTCTGACTCACTCTTCTCCTATTGGCTCTTGGGTTCTTGACTCAGGCGCCACCGATCACATCACTGGTAACAAATCCTTATTTTCCTCTTTCACTTCTTCTCATAATTTACCCTCTGTTACAATGGCTAATGGATCTACAACTTTAGCTCATGGTGTTGGAACGGTTACTCTTTTTCCCTCGTTGTCCATTGATAATGTTTTGTATGTACCCGGGTCCCCCTTTAACTTATTATCCATTAGCCGTCTAACTCGATCTCTTGATTGTGTTATCTCTTTTACCAAAACTTCTGTTTCCTTACAGGACCGGAGCTCGCAAAGAGTGATTGGCACCGGATGTGAGTCACATGGACTTTATTATCTTCAACCTTCTCCACATGTTGGCACGGTTATGGAGTCTCCTTCTCTCCTTCATGCTCAGCTTGGTCACCCCGGTCTGCGCAAATTACGGCAACTTGTTCCCGAGCTTATCCCGAGTTGTCCAGTTTGGTGTGTGAGTCCTGTCAATTAGGCAAACATAGTCGTACTTCCTTTTCTCGTAGTGTTTCCCAAGCATGCTTCATCCCCCTTTGCCTTAGTTCACTCGACATTTGGGGACCCGAGTCGTGTTAAGTCTAATTTAGGTTTTCAATATTTTGTTACTTTTATTGATGATTTCTCTCGTTGTACTTGGTTATTTTTAATGAAAAATCGTTCGAGGTGTTTTCTATATTCCAAAACTTTTATCATGAAATTAAAAATCAATTTGGTGTCTCTATTCAAACTTTTCGAAGTGATAATGGCCGTGAATATCTTTCAAACTCGTTTAAACAATTTATGGCTTCTCATGGCATTCTTCATCAAACTTCCTGTGCTTATACCCCTCAACAAAATGGGGTGGCTGAGCGCAAGAATAGACACCTTATTGAAACAACCCGTACTCTTTTAATTCATGGTGCGGTTCCTCAACATTTTTGGGGTGATGCTGTTCTTACTGCCTGTTATCTTATTAATTGTATGCCCTCTTCGGTCTTAGATAACAAAATTCCCCATTCTATTTTATTTCCTCATGACACTCTCCATCCTCTACCTCTGAAGGTTTTTGGGTCTACCTATTTTGTCCACAATTTTGATCCTGGTCATGATAAGTTATCTCCTCGATCACACAAATGTGTTTTCCTAGGATTTACTCGATCCCAAAAAGGATACAAGTGTTTTTCTCCTTCTCTTAATCGCTATTTTGTGTCTGCCGATGTCACCTTCAATGAGTTTTCCTTTTACTTTAAGGACCCTTCCCTACCTGCTGAGTCTCCATCTGCTACAGTTCCCATGCCTGTTCTCATTGATCCCTATGTTGAGGACCAACCACCATTAGCCCCTCCTCCTCCACCACCCCTTCAGGTTTATAGTCGCAGACCTCGCCCACAACAGACGCCACATGACTCACTCCCAGTGCCAAATACTCGCCTCCTCCGGTTCCAGTCCACGAGTCCGACCTTCCTATTGCCCTTCGTAAAGGTACGCGTTCTACTCGTAATCCTTCTCCACATTATACTCGCTATTAGTTATCATCGAATTTCTTCACCATTTTATACCTGTCTCTCGTCTATTTCTTCGTGTCTATTCCTAAATCTGTCTCTCGAAGCCTTAGCCCACCCTGGTTGGCGTCAGGCCATGCTAGATGAACTCGGTGCTCTTCGGACTAGTGGAACCTGGACACTTGTCCCATTACCATCTGGAAAATCTGTTGGTTGCAGGTGGGTCTTCGCTATCAAGGTTGGTCCCGATGGTACTATTGATCGCCTTAAAGCTCGCCTTGTAGCCAAAGGCTATACCCAAATTTTTGGGTTGGATTATGGTGATACTTTCTCTCCGAGTGGCAAAGATGGCTTCGTTCGTTTATTCATTGCCATGGCTGCTATTCAACAATGGCCTCTTTATCAACTCGGATGTCAAAAATGCTTTCTTGAATGGCGATTTGCAAGAAGAGATTTATATGGAGCAACCTCCCGGATTTGTTGCTCGGGGGAGTCTTCTCGGATTGGTATGTCGTCTTCGCAAATCTTTATATGGCTTAAAACAGTCTTCTAGGGCCTGGTTTGACAAATTTAGCAGCGTTGTTCAACAATTTGGCATGACTAGAAGTGAGGCGAGACCACTCGGTCTTTTACCAGTCACTCGAATGCTTGGATGTATCTATTTGATAGTGTATGTCGATGACATTGTTCTTACAGGTAGTGACCATCATGGCATCTCTCGGATGAAACAACACCTTTGCCACCATTTTCAAACCAAAGATCTTGGCAAACTCAAATATTTCTTGGGTATTGAGGTAGCACAATCTACCGATGGCATTGTTATATCTCAAAGAAAGTATGCATTGGATATTTTGGAGGAAACTGGGTTGATGAATTCAAAGCCTGTTGACACACCCATGGATCCTAATACCAAACTCTTGCCAAATCGGGGGAGCCAATGTCGGATCCCGAACAGTATAGAAGATTAGTTGGAAAATTAAATTATCTTACAGTTACTCGCCACGACATTTCCTTTGCGAGTCGGTGTGGTGAGTCAATTCCTCAATTCTCCTTGTCAAGATCATTGGAATGCGGTCATCCGTATATTGAAGTACATCAAAAAGTCTCCTGGAAAAGGTTTGGTGTATGACTCTCATAATCATACAAGAGTTGTCTGCTATTCGGATGCTGATTGGGCAGGATCTCCCTCCGATAGAAGATCTACATCCGGGTATTGTGTTTCCATTGGTGGTAACTTGATCTCATGGAAAAGTAAGAAACAAAGTGTTGTGGCAAGATCCAGTGCGAAGCGAGTATAGAGCTATGGCCTCGGCTACTCGTGAACTTATTTGGCTCAAGCAATTGCTTAAAGAGCTACAATTTGGAGATGTCACTCAAATGACACTAGTGTGTGACAATCAGGCTGCTCTCCATATAAGCTCTAATCCTGTCTTTCATGAGAGGACTAAACACATTGAGATTGACTTGCCATTTTATTCGAGAAAAGATTATGTCTGGAGACATCAAGACCGAGTTCGTTAACTCATGTGATCAATTAGCGAGATATTTTCACTAAGTCTTTACGGGGACCTAGGATGGATTATCTTTGTACCAAGCTAGGCACATACGATTTGTATGCTCCGGCTTGAGGGGGAGTGTTAGATATGATTAGATATTAGTTGATATTATTTGATATTGTTGAGATATTGTTAGATATTGTTAATCACAATATCAAATAATATCTTTTTATTTACCCTATTTGTATTCTGTTACTCTTTTAAGGAGTACCTTTCTTTATTATAAATACACTGCCCTATGTGTGGTAAATACACAAGGGAAATTAATCCTATACAGTTTTTCCCTATATTCAACATTAAGGTTAATTACCCATTACCTACATCTATTATAGCACCTTTTCAATGAAGCTCGTGTTGATTTTGTGATGGATACGGCAATGTAATTTTCGACTGATTTAGGGATGGAATTTTGGTGCATGTACATTATCCTTTTGTCATATCAATTTGACCATCCATTGTTCTTGTTTAACTATTAATGAATGGATGCTTAATATTTTACACTTCACTCTGCCAATGCTATTTTTGTTGACCATAACAATTTAATTTCTTAAATGTGCTATATGTATTTCTTATGGAATATTTATTTCATAACTTGTGTGACCTACAATCCCATATAATATGTTAGTTTTCACAACCAGTTGTTAATAAGTTATGCATAACTTCTCTTTCGCAAAATTGTCACACATAACCAAGCCCATAGGCACATCATCATATGATACAACATGACTATGCTAGAATTACTAGTAATTGTGAAATGATGATACAGCATTGTTTCCTTATGACAGACTAACAGTCAATCAATTCAATTGAGTTTAATGCAAATATTGCTCACAGGTTTCAGCAAAAGTGATAGGAGAAGTTCGAGCACTTAATATTTTCCCAATCATACCTTATGGTATTCTTGCTGTCTTCTATATGTTCTGGATTTCTGTTGCTCTTCATCTGTTCAGCTCTGGTCAGGTTGTTCAGAATAACTGCAATTCTAACTGCTGCGCATATGATCTCTTGGAGAAAAAGGTGATCTGTGATCGGTGTTGTGGATATAGCATTCATTACACACCCCATGTTGGAGCTGCCATCCTTTTTCACCTATTTGGCTGTTATTGGGCTACACAATTTTTCTTAGCTTGCTCATCTACAGTGATTGCTGGATCTGTTGCCTCTTATTATTGGGCGCATGGTGAAGCATCTGTAAGTCAAAATACCATGTTCCTGAAGAAGTGAACAATTCAGAGGATTTTTTTCTTTTTTTTTTTTTTTTTTGCCGTAATTATGTGGATGCTTCATTAATAAAAGTAGATTGCATGATTTTTACTTCCATGAAAATGGATTAAATGATACCAAAAAGAACAGCACATAAAATTGTTAAAGGAGATTTTTGTTAGGATAAAATTAATAATTGGTGTTAAAAACGCATCGTTGATAGTTTTGGGAATTATAAAGTTTTTGAATGTTTAGAAGCTATTCTTATTAAGGAGCATTATTGTGAGACTATTTTGTTTCTACGGAGTTAATGTTGTGGTTTCTAGAGAGTAATTGGGAAGTGTTTAAATAGAGCATTGTAATTCTATTTTCAATATGACAAAGAATCAATAAAAGTGAAGTTTCTAAGTTTCTGAGAAATTCTTTGTTATCAAATTGGTATCCAAAGCTAGGGTTTGAGTGTAAAAAAAAAACAAAGTGAGATGACTGGTTTGACAAATGTTGTTGCAGTTATGCCTCGACTGACAAATGACGTCACTTATAATAAATGGAGTGCTTAGGTGAAGGCTCTTCTCAAAGCTCAAGGTGTTTGGAAGATGGTGGAGGAAGGTTTTGAACAACCTGAGACCACAAAAAGATTGATAGTCAATGAACTCAGGGAGTTAGAGAAGAAACGTGAGAAAGACCGTGCAACTTTGTTTTTGCTGTTTCGAGCTGTAGAAGATTCTAACTTTGAGAAAATTGTAGGAGAAAAGAGTGAAGACATTGAGGAGGAGAAGATTCCAAAGGGAGATTTATTGATGATTAAGTGATTACTTGATAGTCAATTGAAACCTATGGAAGAAAGCCAAAGAAAAAATATTTTTCACACTAGATGTTTAATCAATGACAAGGTGTGCATGATGATCATAGATGGAGGTAGTTGCACCAATGTGACTAATGCTAGATTAGTATCAAAGCTAAATTTAGCTACCAAACCACATCCTAGGCCATATAAACCTTAATGGCTTAGTAAGGATGGAGAGGTGCAAGTGAGACAACAAGTTGAAGTGGACATTTCCATTGGAAAATACAATGATAAGGTGTTTTGTGATATTATTCCTATGGAAGTCAGTCACTTACTTTTGGGGAGACCATGACAATTTGATAAAAGAGTTAATCATAACGGGTTCACCAACAAGATTTCTTTCATGCACCAAGACAAGAAGATTGTGCTCAAACCTTTGAGTCCACAAGAAGTATATGAGGATAAAAAGAAAATGAGAGAAAAACTTCAAGAAAGGAGAGAGAAAGAAAACATTAGTGAAACACTTGAGAGGAAAAAGAATGATCAAAAGAAGAGTGAAACATGTTAGATATGATTAGATATTAGTTGATATTGTTTGATATTGTTGAGATATTGTTAGATATTGTTAATCACAATATCAAATAATATCTTTTATTTACCCTATTTGTATTCTGTTACTCTTTTAAGGAGTACCTTTCTTTAATATAAATACACTGCCCTATGTGTGGTAAATACACAAGGGAAATTAATCCTATACAGTTTTTCCCTATATTCAACATGGTATCAAGAGCTTAAGGTCTCTTGGGATTTTTTTTTTCCGGCTCTGCCACTGAACCTGCAGCTGTCGCCGCCTCCACCGCCGCCACCGCCACCGTCGCCGGAGTAGCAGTTCGGACCGCCGAGCACAGGGTTTTGCTCGCCTCCTCCGTGCGACCTCCACCGTGGAAGTTTCGCGGTCATCGGAGCAGCCACGCTCCCTCACGCGCCTCCCGAAGCCGCGCCACCTTCTCTCGTTCCGCCACGCGTGGCGGCGCGTCTCGCCGTCGTTCAGGCCGCCGATCTTTGCGCCGGCGTCGCCTCCTTCTCCTCTCTCTAGGATCTGTCCTCGCTGCTCCAATCGGACCTCTTTGGTGTTTTAGGGTTTTTCTCTCTCTTCCTCCATGGCATCTTCCGCTGCCACTTCCAATTCTGAAGCTACCAGTTCCTCCCTTTTGCGGGTGCCATGTAAACCTCTCAATATTCCCACTGTAGTTTCTAATGATTCATCTGCCTTGGCCTCTCACCGTGATGATCGTAATCGCTCTCACAAGTCAGGCAAAGGGCGTGTCAAGTGTGACCATTGTGGCAAACTAGGCCACAAAATTGACAAATGTTATGCTTTACATGGTTATCCTCGCCGATCTGCTGCAATTGCTCAGACTGATTCTTCCGCACAATCCTCTGCTGTGGATCCTCCTTCGTCTGTACCTTCAGACAAATCTGCTATCTTCAATGATTTTCTTCAATGGTATGAGGATCGAAAGCCCTCCAGTTCCACTACTTCTGTTGCCCACACAGGTACATCTTTTGCTTGGTCCGACTCACTCTTCTTCTATTGGCTCTTGGGTTCTTGACTCGAGCGCCACCGATCACATCACTCGGTAACAAATCCTTATTTTCCTCTTTCACTTCTTCTCATAATTTACCCTCTCGTTACAATGGCTAATGGATCTACAACTTTAGCTCATGGTGTTGGAACGGTTACTCTTTTTCCCTCGTTGTCCATTGATAATGTTTTGTATGTACCCGGGTCCCCCTTTAACTTATTATCCATTAGCCGTCTAACTCGATCTCTTGATTGTGTTATCTTTTTTACCAAAACTTTTGTTTCCTTACAGGACCGGAGCTCGCAAAGAGTGATTGGCACCGGATGTGAGTCACATGGACTTTATTATCTTCAACCTTCTCCACATGTTGGCACGGTTATGGAGTCTCCTTCTCTCTTTCATGCTCAGCCTTGGTCACCCCAGTCTCGCGCAAATTACAAGAACTTGTTCCCAGCTTATCCCGAGCTTGTCCAGTTTGGTGTGTGAGTCCTATCAATTAGGCAAACATAGTCGTGCTTCCTTTTCTCGTAGTGTTTCCCAAGCATGCTTCATCCCTCTTTGCCTTAGTTCACTCGACATTTGGGGACCCAGATCGTGTTAAGTCTAATTTAGGTTTTCAATATTTTGTTACTTTTATTGATGATTTCTCTCGTTGTACTTGGTTATTTTTAATGAAAAATCGTTCCGAGGTGTTTTCTATATTCCAAAACTTTTATCATGAAATTAAAAATCAATTTGGTGTCTCTATTCAAACTTTTCGAAGTGATAATGGTCGTGAATATCTTTCAAACTCGTTTAAACAATTTATGGCTTCTCATGGCATTCTTCATCAAACTTCCCGTGCTTATACCCCTCAACAAAATGGGGTGGTCGAGCGCAAGAATAGACACCTTATTGAAACAACCCGTACTCTTTTAATTCATGGTGCGGTTCCTCAACATTTTTGGGGTGATGCTCGTTCTTACCGCTTCGTTATCTTATTAATCGTATGCCCTCTTCAGCTTTAGATAACAAAATTTCTCATTCTATTTTATTTCCTCATGACACTCTCCATCCTTTACCTCTGAAGGTTTTTGGGTCTACCTGTTTTGTCCACAATTTTGATCCTGGTCATGATAAGTTATCTCCTCGATCACACAAATGTGTTTTCTTAGGATTTACTCGATCCCAAAAAGGATACAAGTGTTTTTCTCCTTCTCTTAATCGCTATTTTGTGTCCGCCAATGTCACCTTCAATGAGTTTTCCTTTTACTTTAAGGACCCTTCCCTACCTGCTGAGTCTCCATCTCGCTACAATTCCCATTCCCTGTTCTCATTGATCCTTATGTTGAGGACCATCCACCATTAGCCCCTCCTCCTCCACCACCCCTTCGGGTTTATAGTCGCAGACCTCGCTCACAACAGACGCCACATGACTCACTCCCGGTGCCAAATACTCGCCTCCTCCGGCTCCAGTCCACGTAGTCCGACCTTCCTATTGCCCTTCGTAAAGGTACGCGTTCTACTCGTAATCCTTCTCCACATTATACCGCTATTAGTTATCATCGAATTTCTTCACCATTTTATACCTGTCTCTCGTCTATTTCTTCGTGTCTATTCCTAAATCTGCTCTCGAAGCCTTAGCCCACCCTGGTTGGCGTCAGGCCATGCTAGATGAACTCGGTGCTCTTCGGACTAGTGGAACCTGGACGCTTGTCCCATTACCATCCGGAAAATCTGTTGTTGGTTGCAGGTGGGTCTTCGCTATCAAGGTTGGTCCTGATGGTACTATTGATCGCCTCAAAGCTCGCCTTGTAGCCAAAGGCTATACCCAAATTTTTGGGTTGGATTATGGTGATACTTTCTCTCCAGATGGCAAAGATGGCTTCGTTCGTTTATTCATTGCCATGATCGCTATTCAACAATGGCCTCTTTATCAACTCGGATGTCAAAAATGCTTTCTTGAATGGCGATTTGCAAGAAGAGATTTATATGGAGCAACCTCCCGGTTTGGTGCTCGGGGGAGTCTTCTGGATTGGTATGTCGTCTTCGCAAATCTTTATATGGCCTAAAACAGTCTCCCAGTGGCCTGGTTTGGCAAATTTAGCAGCGTTGTTCAACAATTTGGCATGACTAGAAGTGAGGCGAGACCACTCGGTCTTTTACCGTCACTCGAATGCCTGGATGTATCTATTTGATAGTGTATGTCGATGACATTGTTCTTACGAGTAGTGACCATCATGGCATCTCTCGGATGAAACAACACCTTTGCCACCATTTTCAAACCAAAGATCTTGGCAAACTCGGATATTTCTTGGGTATTGAGGTAGCACAATCTACCGATGGCATTGTTATATCTCAAAGAAAGTATGCATTGGATATTTTGGAGGAAACTCGGGTTGATGAATTCAAAGCCTGTTGACACACCCATGGATCCTAATACCAAACTCTTGCCAAATCGGGGGAGCCAATGTCGGATCCCGAACAGTATAGAAGATTAGTTGGAAAATTAAATTATCTTACAGCTTACTCGCCCGACATTTCCTTTGCAATCGGTGTGGTGAGTCAATTCCTCAATTCTCCTTGTCAAGATCATTGGAATGCGAGTCATCCGTATATTGAAGTACATCAAAAAGTCTCCTGGAAAAGGTTTGGTGTATGACTCCCATAATCATACAAGAGTTGTCTCGCTATTCGGATGCCGATCAGGGTGGATCTCCTCTCGATAGAAGATCTACATCTCGGGTATTATGTTTCCATTGGTGGTAACTTGATCTCATGGAAAAGTAAGAAACAAAGTGTTGTGGCAAGATCCAGGTGCGAAGCGAGTATAGAGCTATGGCCTCAGCCTACCCGTGAACTTATTTGGCTCAAGCAATTGCTTAAAGAGCTACAATTTGGAGATGTCACTCAAATGACACTAGTGTGTGACAATCAAGCCGCTCTCCATATAAGTTCTAATCCCGTCTTTCATGAGAGGACTAAACACATTGAGATTGACTCGTCATTTTATTCGAGAAAAGATTATGTCCGGAGACATCAAGACCGAGTTCGTTAACTCATGTGATCAATTAGCAGATATTTTCACTAAGTCTTTACGGGGACCTAGGATGGATTATCTTTGTACCAAGCTAGGCACATACGATTTGTATGCTCCAGCTTGAGGGGGAGTGTTAGATATGATTAGATATTAGTTGATATTGTTTGATATTGTTGAGATATTGTTAGATATTGTTAATCACAATATCAAATAATATCTTTTATTTACCCTATTTGTATTCTGTTACTCTTTTAAGGAGTACCTTTCTTTATTATAAATACACTGCCCTATGTGTGGTAAATACACAAGGGAAATTAATCCTATACAGTTTTTCCCTATATTCAACAAAACACTTGAAGTGAGAGAGAACTATTTAGCCATAAAAAGTGAGTATAATGTTAATTTTACATTCAATTTGTCAGACTTATCTCTTTTTTTAATGTAGATGACGAATCCGATTTGAGGACAAATCCTTTTCAAGAAGGAGAGAATGATGTGAACATGACCTATGATAAGGGCTAGAGCAAGGGAAACAAAGAAAACTCTTCAACAAGTATTGTTGGTTGACCAAATTATGTTTTGGATTAATCAATTAATGGGCTTTAGTTTGGTTTTATTGTAAGTTGTAATAAGGGCCAAATTGGAAATTTAGTTATCAGTCTTTGGGAGACTAAAAGGGTGTATAGCTGATTGACTTTTGGATACCACAATTTCAGTGACAATAAATCATTAAGTAGTTTTCAATTCCTAGGTTAATAAATCATTATTAGTATTTATTTTCCTTTAATGAATATTTATAACTCTGATGGCAAAACTTCTTTATAAGCTAAACCATTTTTATCAGAAATAACAAGTTGAATTTTATTTTTAGAAATATTAGAGTTTATCTCTTTTATCTTAGTGAGAGTGATTCTCCTAAGTTCTTGAGTGATTTAAGAACACTTGGCTGTATCAAAGGACTTTCACATCCTTTGTGAGTTGCCTTCCTTGGAAAGAGTGATTCTTTCCTTCCACCTTATCACTAAATTTCTAAATTTCCTGCAAGGTTCTAACCTTAAAGATCCTAAATCACCCCTTGTCATTCATATCAGATGAACACCTATTCAACAAGTTGGAGAAATTTGAGGGTGATCATGTTTCGTTTGAAGATGCTTTCGAGGATCTCGATAAAAGGCTGAGGTATTGTTTGTTACTTGCAGAAGGATGACTTAGTCGGGTCAATCCAAGATGTATTTATGTTCCCGATCTCAAGAGTAATCTTTTGAGTGTAAGACAACTGATGGAGAGAGGATATTTGGTTTTCATGAAACATTGAGTACTTTTGTTGAGGAATAAGTTTGGAAGGTTAATAACCCGAATAGAGATGGGATTAGGATCTACAAGTTGCAGTTGAAAAGCATTCGGGAGAGGAGTCTGAAATCAAATGTAGATGACACATTGAATGTAAATTATCGATCTGCTCACATGCATTTTTGTGGTTTAACCGAGTTGATTAATGATGATAATCATGATATTGTCCGAATTGGTGATGCAAGTGAAAGAGACCGAGTACACAAGCTATTGCACCTGCAGTTGTTTCCAAATCAGAAGGAGACCGAGTTGATGTGCTACTAGTTGTTATCAAATCGGAAGGAGAGAAGGAGGTTGTGTGTTGAAAAAATGGCGAGCTGAAAAGGATGATAGAGTCCAAGTTGCTACACCACCAATAGTAACTAGTTCGGTAATCGAGGAGGAAGAGAAGAAAAACATGAAGAGCATGAAGGGGAGAGTTTGCTAAGGTGTGGTCGGTAACAAGGTGAGTACCCAACGAAAGAAAAATGAGAAATATGATCGAGTTATTGGTGTGAAGCATGTATTCAAGAAGGATGAAAAAGTTTTATGCCGGTCTTTGACCGAGCTCACTTAGAAGAAAAGAGATGAAAAGTTGCTAGGCAAGGTGGATGTCAAGTTTAAGATGACTAATTATAATTCGGTATCAACCCCTATGAAATCAGGAGTGATCGGAAATAAGAAGATTGGAAGTCGACTAGTAGGTAGCTTGAAAGTTTGAAGTCCGAGATGTTTTGTAGGTCAAAAAGTTTTGAAGTCGATAATTAGGTGATTGGAATTAAGCCGATCTCATTTTTGAAGCTGAAGGCCAGTTGGAAGTTGGGAGACCGGGATGAAGTTGATCTCAAATTTTCTTTAATGCAGAGAATTAATTTTACTGGGGGGTTTGTTAGGATAAAATTAATAATTGGTGTTAGAAACGTATCTCTGATAGTTTTGGGAACTAGAAAGTTTTTGAACATTTAGAAGCTATTGTTGTAGGGGAGCATTATTGTAAGATTTTTGGTTTCTAGGGAGTTAATGTTGTGGTTTCTAGAGAATACTTGGGAAGTGTTTAAATAGAGCATTGTAAGTCTGTTTTCAATAGGACAAAGAATCAATAAAAGTGAAGTTTCTAAGTTTATGAGAAATTTTTTGTTATGATGTGAATAATGTCACTAATAATTTGGCTGTCAACAAGTTTATTTTATTGGAATTATTAACCTATGAGTTGTATCTATCTCTGTACCTAGGTTTCTAGATCAGTTTTAGTTCCTTGACTTTCCATCTACTCATTATATTTGTGTTCTATCGTTATAAATAAAGAAATCATATGAGAGGTGTGATTAAGCGTTCTAAAACATATATTTTTCTTCTTTTTCTACTTTTAGGTAAGTTCAATGGCACTGTTTGACCCGGTAGCCAACCTTACATAATTCTGATGATGCAGTAAGGGAAGGTTATTTGCAGAAAAAACTATTAGAAGTTTAATGAGATCGAATAATTTGTAGTCCAAGCCATAACAGGGCTTCTTAATCAGTATGGGGTGTGTATGGGGTGTACATGTGTTGGATTAGAAATTGTTGAAATATGAATATCATTTACTAGCTCCTCCTATCTTAGATGTTCAAGGATAATACACATAGGTTAAGAAATATTTAATGAAAGGAAAAAGTATCATTATATTTGGACTAAATTTCCTTATTACCTTGATTTATTAATGTTTTTCTCTCTCAAATATATACCTCACTAATAGTGGTGCAAGCATATAAAGATATGGGAAAGAAGTAGTATCAATTTATTAAAATTTATTGGGCTTAACTAGGTCTTAAATTTCCTTGTGTGAGAGCATTCAGCTTCACGATAATAATAACCAAATTTATATCAAATGACAAACATCTGGTTTTCGTCTGTTTGGCTGATTTGAATTTGGTTTATCAATTGGCCAAACATGTTTCTTCTGATGGTTACTAATTATCTTTATATATGATACTAAATATATTTCATCTTTCTCAATGCAGCCTGAAATTCCTTTTCTTTCAGTATTTTCCTCCATGAAGAGGCTCATGCTTTACAATCTTGGTTCTGTGGCTCTTGGCTCTCTGATTGTATCATTCGTAGAGTCAATCCGCTTTTTGCTTGAGTCTATTCGCCGGAAACTAAAAGTCTCCACTCATGTCCCTGATAGCATGATTGGCAAGGCTGCTTACCAATCTTCTCAATGCTTTCAAAGGAGTATTGAGTGGACCATCAAATCAGTGAACCGAAATGCTTACATCATGGTAATTTTAGTTAATCTTCCATAAGCCATTTGTGTATGCATGTTGCTGATGCATATATGTGCAAGTTAATTTTGAGCAGTTGTTATTTAATAAATAAGGATAGACAAATAGATGGAAAAGGAAACTATAATATACTTTTTGCCTTGTAATTATTGTTATCAGCAAGTATGGGGAGAGGCTGGATTGCATACGGATATTTGATATGTTCATATTGAATTTGATTAAAAATAATGGGCAAAACAATGTCTTTTAATGTTGGCATGTTGAATAGTTGAGTGACTTGTATAATATATTAATTTGTCTTTCTGCATTTTACTTATCAAGTATCTGCCTCACATGCAGATTGCTATAACGGGAAAAAGTTTCTTTAAAGCTTCTGCTATTGCAACTGAATTGATCATGAGTAACATCCTTCGGATTGGACGTGTCAATGTGATTGGAGATGTTATTTTGTTCCTTGGAAAACTATGTGTCAGCCTCTCAAGTGCTGTTTTTGCTTTCTTCATGTTGGACACACACAAGTACAGATCTGCACATAACAAGATCTCATCTCCACTTTTGCCTGTTGTGGTATGTTCTATAATCTGCTTAAAAGAGTGGGGCTTGAAAATCAATTATGGTTTAACCAAAGCATGAAACATGATAATTCAATTTTTAATGGATAGAATGTTTAGACTCTTAATTTGATGGATAGTTGGTCATAATATTTCAGTTTGCCCTATGTATCATTTCCAAAATATAGAGAACATTCACATAAACTCATTGATTCAACATCATTTTAGGCCTAAATTAGCCAATTTGTTGCTACTTACTGCTATTTATGGAACTTGTTTGTTCTTTCATCATGGAGAGTTAAATCTGTTGCTCTACAATATGCACCAGTGAGTAAAAGATTGACTTGATGCATTCAGGATGACCTAACATGCTCAATTAAAAGATGAAGGGCAGCAAAATAGTTGTAAAAAATATATCTATACTAATTCTCCCTTTAATGTTGAATTGTAATTTTGTGCAATGCAGGTTTGCTGGACTCTTGGATATGTTGTTGCAACTCTTTTCTTTGCAGTCGTAGAGATGTCAATAGAGACCATCATTCTCTCATTTTGCCAAGACTCTGAGGAGCATGGAACAGCACAGTATGCTCCTCCTCTTCTCATTGAAACTCTGGGAGACCAAAATGAGATGCAGAGACTTACACAAGGACCCCAATGAAGTATTTCCTTGTACTACTTTCTCTGTGATGAACTTTAACAGGGCTTCAGGACTTAGAATTTTGTTTAAGGTGCTTGATTTTGCCACCTGAGTTCTGTTTTCTCCTTGTATATATGCTATATACAATGTTCAACAAAGGTTTCCTATGATGAAGGTAGCTCTTTAAGTAGTTTTACTTTTTGACAAATGGGTTATAGTAGGATATCATGATTGGCACCTTGCTTTATGCAATTATTTTGCATGATGCTTAAGAAAATCAAAGTGAAGATATGGTTCTAAGTTGTAGTTGCACTAACAGCTGCAATAGCGACCATTGTGATTACGTACGTTGTGACTACTACAATGCAGATTGTGATCATGGCATGAAAGTATTATATGATTGTAGCAAATAATAAAAAAATTGATAGTTATTTTACATGATAGTAATCTTTTATTTATAAGACTATATAGATGTTTATTCATTTTAAGAAATTTCAGCCATGGTTTTGGCCATTAGCGACAATGTCATTTAACAAAAATAAAAGTGACAAGCAAATACATATGCATTAAATTTTATGTAAAATATCCATGTAAATACTCAAAATGTTAATTACAACTATCAAATTGTTATAGATATCAGTCATCATCACCATCTTTAATTTTTTAGATTACAAATATCTTTTACGAGTTTCACATGCTACAAAACTTTCATTAATTTATATAATATATACATATTACCTCTAAATTTTAAGAATATATTCTAAAATCTATTAAATGAGTGTGAAATATATTTAGTAGATAAATGATGTAATTCATATTCATGATAGAATTACACACCAATTCCTTCATGTAACATGGTAAGAATATGCAATTTGTATAATAAATAATAAGATTCTCATAAATTGGGCCATGGACTCTCAAGAGTCCTGTAATGCACAGCACCATAAGAACCAAGGAGTTTTCTGCAGGCTGCATTGACATCCATCCATTCTCTTTGATATATATTTAACTTAAATAATTTACACCATTTCAAATCCCAAAAAAATTAATAATTTACTTTTTCCATACTCCAGTGTTCTGCATGCCAACAAAAGTCACCCATATTCTATACTTGTCCCACATAAATTAGTAATGTCCAAAAGCACTATTACCTTGTAAAGCCTTTTTTAAGGGAACTAGAAGTAATCTCTTATACATCTTTGATAATCATACAAAAGCCATCTTTATCAATGTAACAGTTAACTTGTTTCATTTTCCTCCATTGCTCATATTTTATCTCCCACTTGGCATAGAGGAGCATCTTGGAATTAACTCAGCTTTGGAACTGCATTGCGCAGAAGATATCGAGGCAGAGGGTCTTAGGAGGGGTGTGACAGCCCTACTTGAGGTTTCATTAGCAATAGGAGAAGGGGTGGATATAACAGCTGTGACTGGCTGTAATTCCACTTCAGGGGCATCGATTATTTGATCATCTTCTTCAATAGACAACACAGTGCTTGTGTCTGTATGAATGGTGGAGTCATCAGGGAACATACCATGCCTTCTCTTCTTCCTAGCTGCCTTACCCCATCCATGAATTGTTTCTCTTATCCTCTGCGGGATTAATGCAGCCTTATAGTTTGTTCCCATCTGAAATAAACATTGAAAAGCTATTGTTGCATGGAATATTACTGTGGCAAAAGCGAAAGCCCTTCACTAAAATGATTCACTTGAGGTATCAAATCCATTTTTCAAGCACCACAAGACGGATTATTCATTATTAAGGAATGCCATTTGTATAATTTGAGACTTCCAAAACTGAAAACTTGATGACATATATAGTGTGTTATTTATATTTTCAGATACTGTTTTAGTTTTTCAAAAATGTTGTACAAACAACTGGTAGAGGGTCATACAAGACACATAACAGATAGTGTAATTAATAGAAAAGGAAGAGATGATAGAACATCTCTTAGCTATAGTTAGTATGGTTCGTAGTCACTTTTACTGATAACAGAATAACAGGCAATAATCATACTATTGCCCCCTCTGTGAACAAGTTTTGCTATTGATCTATGATATTAAGATTCATATCCGTATTCTTCTTACATCTTTCTTACTGGGTGTTTCTGGGTTTTTCTTGTATCTTTCTTACTGCATTTTTCTGAGTCTTTCCAATATATTAAGTCTGGATCTTGTTAAAATCTCTTATCTGTTTCTGTTCTTTGGATTTCAACTCACTGGTTTAGGAAACAATTTTTAAAACTGCCTAGCTTTTTGGATGAGAAATTGATTTTTGAGTAGTGTGGAATTAGTATAGAAAACAGTTTTTAAAACCAATAAGATGAGAAAGGAATCAAAGAATTCCTAAGACATTACATTTCCTTTTTCTCACCGGCGTTACCTACCTGTGTAACAAGTGCATATAGCGGCAAGGTGCTGTAGCTACAAAGAAACTGTCCTGCAAACCTGCAAAATAGAAATATAAGGTGCATTTTGATTTGTCGACTTGTGTAAACTAAGCCAATAAATATCCAATGCTGTCATTTAACATTAAATAGTTGAATAATGTTCATGCCAAGTAGTTATTTGACATTTTAAAAAATGGCATGTCAATTCTTCATTGACTTAGTTTACACAAGTATTGTATGTAAAATCCTGAATAAAGGGAAAAAAACATTGTTGATTTCTGCATACCCCAATATTAGCCTTAAATAAAGGAGAAGGTGATTCCTAATAAAGCAGGAATCATATCCGAACTGCCACTGTAGTCAAAAAGACATTTTGCTAGTTTAGTCCAATGAAAAAATTCGAAGTCTGTATATTGATTCTGTAACACAAATAAATAGTTGTATCTTATTTTATTAGAACTCCCTAAAACTGAATCTTGCTTACAATTTTGGATAATTTATGTCCAAGCAATATAACCATTTTTTAAATTCAACCTTAAAACAATCTGATTCCTACTCCATGGTCTAATTCTAGGGTGTAAAATGCATAAGGAAGTACCCAGAACCAAAAGAATGAAGCCAGCTCAAATGCATTCTGCCAAAAAGAACAAGGAATCGGAAATTAATACCAGAATAACAAACTTCAGTAAGAATTATCGCATAAGATGTAGACGAACCATGGCCAACCTGGAAGAGAATGAAATGGATCAAGGACAACAATAGTTCAGGTTTATTAAACCAAAAAAGTTCATCACGAGGCCTCAACTTTGTTTCTGGGAAGAACCCTGTAATTCCAGCATTCTCCAATGCCAAGGTTGCAATAACATGCTGTAGCTTTGTTCCCACCAAGAGCACAAGCTGTGCATGAAACAATAATTGTATTGTTGAATGTCTTCAATAATTTACTCAACTCATTTATTTTAGCATATAAATATCATACAGCATTTCAGTGAATAAGGCCATAATTTAAGCAGGTTCACCAACAAGCATTGCATTTAATTCAAATTCTATACAAAAACTCACCAACTACTTCACAAAGAACCAACCACATCCCGTTCACAACATCTAAATGGTTCTAAAACAAAAGTTTAAATTTGATCCACCACACTAGCTTTTTATGCAATTAGGATAACAAAAAGGAAATAAAGGAAATGAAGGAAATAGCAAGACAACTTACAGATACAGGAATGATAGCTATCCAGAAATATAGGTTAGATCCTGCATAAGCCACCCAAAAAAAATAGCCAATTGTAAGTTTCAACAGCATGCCAAACCAAGAATGACCTGACCACAATGCTTCAGTGAATCTTGCAGAAAAAAGGGACTGAAAGTATAAGCATAAGGAGACTATTTGAGCGAAGAGATGGTGAGGAGACATGTTAAAATAAAGGAAAATTATTATAAACTAGTTTTCACCTCCACTTCCTGTAATAGGCTATACCTTTTATATTGAAAAGCATGAAGGCAACAACAAATCCCCAGAGCGGGCCACTGCAAGAGATTTGACATAATCAGCTTTCAACATCTTCGTGAGAATCAGTGGGTGAAAAACTAAAGCAGTAAAAATGTAACAAGAATAATTCCAAGATATAACAATAGATATTGTATTCTTGCCTCCTTATATATATCATTATCTGCAGTGAATATGGAATAAAAAATTTAATCTACCTCGTAAAGCACTAAGTATAAATAAATGGGTATTTTGTTGCCAACAATTTACTATTGAAACAGTTTATTTTGGAACTTTTAAGATCATGGAATGCACATAAAAGTGCATTAGAGATGTTATAATACTGTATTAACTGAAATAATTGTCCCAAGGGAGTCAAGAAACAGACTGGAGTCTCGACTATTACTAACCTCACCCCAACTATCCTTTGAAATTCCTCTTCCATAGACCGAACCATGTAGCTGTGGAAATCATACTTTAATGAAAGGTGGTGATTCTGCCATGAATGATGAAAAACAAAGTAATTAGTTCACATTCACAAAATAGTAGTGCACACACTCACTGTTCTAAGAAACCTGACATATAATTACCATGGGGATTGTTGTTTCAAATTACAAATCATGCAATTACAGACTTAAAATCATGTTAGAAAACTAATATCAAGAAAATGCATTAAGTATCTATTACAAATAGTCTTTTTCAGTTTGCGCTAGGAACTTAGAACCAGAGTTTTCTTAAAAGATAAAAGTTTGTTAAATTCTGCATCTTATCATACGGTGGGATGAGAGTTAAAATAACCTATTAGCAAAAGAACTTTGGGGGAAAACATGATAATTATGAGATGAGAATCACATTAAGTAGCTTGCGAATAAAAAGCATCTATACCAAAGACAAATTTTATTACAATACTACTTACCACAATGAAGCCTTTGCGAAGTGTAAGATAATCAGCACGAACAACAGAATGCGCAAATTGTCGGAAAAAACATGTCTACAGCTTATTAAATTTCAAATTAGATAGATATACAATTATACAGAGTAAATGGTTCAAAATGAAACCTGGATTTACATAGAACTAGATGGTTAAAATTATATATAAATTGAGTAGTAGAGGGTACAAGGAAAGAATTGAAGATTCAGATAAAGTATGTTTGTTCTCCAAAAGGTGCTGACAGTTTAAAAGATTCATGTAATTAGCTCCCATGATAGTTTAAAAGATTCAAAAAAGTGCATTTAGTATTCAGAGGCACAATTGAATTCCCATGTGTTTGACAACTTCAAAAAAGTAATCATTAAAATATCCATCATATTTTACTCAACATACTTGCTTCCATGAGAGAAGAACTTTGATATGATTTATCCAACTTAATTGACCGGTGCAACAAACTCCTGTTGCAAACCTTGTTTAGGAAAACAATTTGATCAAAAGATAAGAAATCTAGGCAAGTTAACCATGCAAAGATGGTATACTCTTTTCTGTATATTTTGATTTCAAACATTCTTCATATCTTCCTAGTTCCTTCTTCATCAAATAAATTTAAGAAACTAAAGACGGGTATGTTAAGGAAAACAAACGAAATGAAACCAAATGGAAACAAGAAAACAAGTGGAGATATGTAATTACCACCCAAATGAGGGAACTGTTTTTTATCAATGCATGAGACTTGACAAAGGTTGATTGCCTTCGCATAACCAACTCTCTTGTAATTTCTGTTGAAACAAAAGAATTGAAAAATCAACTACTAAATATGGTTTAAATATGCACTGCATGACCACATATTTTCTGTCTATGACCAACTCTCTTAAAAGCCCTAAACTGTCAAGTACAGAGGTAAATAAACATTTTTAACATGCTCCCTTACAGAAAGCTCATGAGCTGGGAGAGTGGACAATGAATAAGAACCAAGTTAAAATAAAATATTAAAGCACTGATTAAACTCTTGACTACATGACAGTAGATGTAATACTACATCAAGGACCAATTATCATCAAAGCTAGAGCTGACAGGTAAAGATACATTTAGATGTTAGAATTTCCATCTGTCATATATCACTGGATGAAATCTTGGGAGATTTTGGTCATCCAAAATGCTTGTTTATTTAACTTAACTTCAGTGGCTACCAAGCAAAAAACCAACATAATTGCTCAACAGGATCAGTCAGTGAAGTGGATTAGGAGAGTGGAGGAGAGATCAAACATAGAAATGCTATTGGATTTTAATTATATAACAGATTGTATTATCTGCAATAGCTACATAACTGACAGAAAAGATGCATTATAGGGTAACAAACCTGACTGATGTGCTTTGTAAGTTTGTATAATCAATCATAGAAGTGGAAACAACATTTGAAGGGACTAAAAAGGATAACATAAAACAAATATAAATAACTTTCATTGAAAGGCACATTCAGAAGCAATGTGCTTACCAGATAATGAATCACGCCGATCCGTGAGAGCCTCATCTTCCCACACTCTCCAACTGTGAATCTGGATTAGACTACTAGTGTTAATATGTCAAACAAAATCCAAAATGATAAACCAAAATTGATAGTGTGTTTGGATGTATTTTAATTTATAGAAGTTGTATATTAAAATACATTGAATTAAAAGTTCAAGTCAATTATTTCACAATTGTAAGAAAATAAAAGTTCAAAAAATTTGAATTGCTTTATCCAAAAAAAGTATTTAAAAAATAAATAATTTTATTTGAAAGCAATTCAAATTCAATGTATTTTAATTTCCTTGAAATTATGAAATTTATATCTAAACACAAGGTAAACATATCTCAATGTTATTGTTCAGACTATTATTCTCAATTCAATACAAATTAAATTAATCTAAAATTTTGACAGAACGGAATTCATTCATTGGCTCAAAAAGTCCAAAAATAAAAAGGGTAAATGAAATATTTATTTTAGTACTTAAATGTGTAAAAAGTCATGCATTTATGTCCAGGTCCTATTGTTAAGTTTTATGGGATTATTTTGACATCATAATGTAATTTTAACTACTAACTTAACAAACAAAGAGGAACTATTTTGTTATAAAACAATGATATTAAGGATTAATTTGAATTTTTTACATACTCAGGACCTAAATCAGATTCTCCCCTCTTTGAAGGATTAAATTAGCAGCGCTTCACACAAAGGACCAAATAGGTCATTTAACTAAAATAAAAAATATATATGAAGAACATATTTTTTATTTATAAAATATGGACAGGTCATTTTCATAGACTATATTGGGAATTTTAGTATGAGTTCAAATCTCAAGTTGGATAGAAATTAAAATGTTGAGTGACATATAAATCACAAAGACTTACAAACCTAATGTTCTTAGGTTTTAGGTTAAGGATAATATTATTATATGTTTGGTTCGTGCGGACCCATTAAGGATAATATTATATTTTCTTATATGTTCGGCTTGTACGGACACATTCATGAATATCTCCATGTATTAATCCCCTCAAAAATAATATTCAATAATGACATGGGAGTCGATGGTTCGTCATCGATTGAATATGATTGGCGTAGACCGTGGATCCATAAACATGAGAATGTTGAGTAACATATATAAGTGAGAGATATCTCTTGGTGTTGCCCTCCCATCAGAAATACCCACAAGAGTACTCAATTACTTCTCACAGGAATAATCTTCATACTTTTACTTTGATATTTTGAATAATACAACATTCTCCATACTTCTTTTTTGGTATTGCATATAATTTTCAATACATTACCTTACTCTTTTCCATGTCATTTTTAGTCTCAATGCACATGATCATGGGCAGGTTAGAGAAAAGAACAACTAGTTGCCTAGTTGGTAGTGGTGAGAAGAGGGGTAAGTACATTGAAAAAGGCATTTGGTATCAAAACTTATATAGAATGGCTCAAACTATTTCTTTGCAATAATGATAAATATGTGGCAGACATGCTTCATCTACAAACACAAAACAATAACTCACCTTCACAATGGCCAACAACATAGTTAGGCAACTGTAAGATATATGAGTTACTGCCATGACAAAAATGAACCGGTGCAACTGTTCTAGACCTTCATAGGACACAAATGGTTCATAACCCTGAGAAAGATAACAAAATTCAAATTAACTTACATTAATTTAGAGCAGTAAAAGCTAGTGATAGTCAAATTTTATACATGTAAGGTATATTGCTCATGCCTCTTTGCAAGTGCTTCTATTTATTCCATTCAACATCCTCCCAAATACTCGATAAGCAGAAGCCATCAATAATTTACGCTCTCCAGAGCCATTCTCTTCCATTTGTTCATCAATCTCGGATCTAGTACATGGAGCAAAAGCACTGTTGTAGAACTTTGATGGAATGCAAATATTAGCTATCATGCGTGAGGTAGCTGTTAATAAGAGTGATATAAACCCGAGTAACATCAACTCTGAAGATAGAATTCCAACATAATGAGAACTGATCAGTAAGACTTCTTGTTTATATGTAAAACGATTTCAAGCATAATTTAATGCACAACACCTTCTTTCATCTTCTCCAAAGCTGCAAGCAATGGTTTTCGATTAGTTTTCCGCAGCCACTGCAGCCACAGAAAAACATAATCACACATCAGAATTCAAGCCAAAGGCAACCACAAAGAACGGCTTGATTAACACTCATAAAAGGATGGTTCTTCAATTACAAGTAAGGCAAATTATGATAAAGGCAGAATCAAGCTTTAAAGTTTAAACAAAAATGGAAAAATACAAATCTATACATGCCAGTGCAACTACATATGAAGATAGTGAAAAGTTCTTTCCATGTCAATTAATGCAGATCCTGTTAAATCTATTTTAGAGTTACATTCCACCCAAAAATGAAATTTCTGACCATATCCAAGTTGTTGTCAGGCAAAATACTCATTTTATCTCTTTCCATTTTTATTCTTTTGACCTCTACTACCCTTCCCTTTCTCAACTCATAACAAGTCTCTGCTAGTGTCTTAAACCATAGGTTTGCAAAATGCCTTAAAAATTGAACAAACTTCCAAGTTCTACCATGCAACTTTTTGCTACACTAGAGAAATTAACAACGAGAACCAATAAAGCTCAACAAAGATTCTGGTCTAGCAAGTACTTACATTGCTTAAACGGTGAATGGAGCGCTCCACAAGCAGAGAGACAGCAACAAAGACAGTCAACACAGTAGCAACAGACCATGTAGGAGTCAAGGCCAATGACCTTGTTTCCTGCACATTTCCTTGCATTTTGAAATACCCAAATCACACACCAAACCTTGAATATATGACTATGCCTTATAAAGTCACAAGCCAACTTATTCAATGGACTTGAGACATGGTCTCATCAAAGATCTCCTTGGAAAATTATACAAACAGAACTCATAGTGCAACCCTTAATCAGCCTATAAATCAGTGGGGTATTACTGAATCCCATAAATAGAACTTCTAATGGCAGTATCTTTCATCAACAGACAATGGCAATTAGTGATCTGACTACTAATTTACATACAAAGATACAACAAAACAAAGAAATAGAACCCAAATAAAGCTCTAACTTCCATAGGTTGGAGCATATATAACTGCATAAGACACAATTACATATACCACTTGCTAAAAAAAAAATTGGATAAAGCCCCCAAATGAACCTGGTGACTAGCTCTTCCTCACTGCATATCAAAATTCTCCATAATAATCAAAGACTCTTCCAGAAAATAAATAAATAAAAATATCTATATCAATATATCAAGTGGGGAAAAGAAAGTTCCTAGACCTTGTTTCTCTCACTTTCTCCAAAGAAATAAAAAAGCAAACAAAAAACAAGGCTCTTTCTTTTCCTTCCTGAGACCTCTTGTGAACTATTCAGACCAACCCCATTTGCAAATCACGCCCACATTCCCAAATACACACTACTAGCTGTTTTAAAGCCCATTATTTTGGTTGGTTCAACTTCAACGACAGTGCCAAGCAGATTCAGACATTCCCCAATGAGAGTAAAGGCCACAACTTTTTCCCCAACATCAAGTACCCACAACCTTAAAACCCTGTCAAGAATCTAGGAAACTCCGAATGGAACTTGTCACTCTGTAACAAGTGAACCCAGAAGAGTGAAATCTGAAGATCTCTCTCACATAGTCACAACAAGCTATAAGTAACAAACAAACTAGTATTTGTTTGTTCCTAATACAATACATTGAATGAGTTCACCAAAAACTACATGCATTTTATGATTCCCATTCCCATAAAAAATGAGGGGCAAAGCGCGTCTTTTCCAGCTACGTCAATGTCAATGCCAATGCAATTCACACTGTTCAGTATCTCTTCATTGGGCCACAGGTGCGTGCCAACTCCCTCTCATGCACAATATAATATACTAATGCACCACATCTACCACATTCGTTGATACCTGTGTTCTTTAAGCAGGTAAATTCAAATTATGTGAAAGAAAACAAAAAAAATAAAAAGTTAAAAGATCGTTTCTTTAATTATGATATTGATAAAAATTATCCATCATTGTGCTGGAATCTTCAATCTTGATGAATAAATAATAGTACTATAAAAAAATGTTCATGCAGCATGCACGTGTTTCCCTTCTGCTATTATCTTTTTCCGCGCTGCATTACATGTACCGCACTTGTCGTTGCTGCATCAACTTCACTTTTTTTACACTTTTTTTATATCATTATTATTATTATTATTATTATTATTATTATTATTATTATTATTATTATTATTATTATTATTATTATTATTATTATTATTATTATTATTATTATTATTGGGATCGCTAATAATTGATTTTGGTCGAAATGGATTTTAGTAATTTGTAATCTATAAATGTAATGTTAGGTACAGGGTATAACTCAGATGCAGTTCCTTTAATATTTTTTATATTATTTTAAATAAAAAATGAAGCTAAAGTACTGTATAAAATAAAAAATTTACATTAAAGACCGGTACAAATCATTGAAGGGAAAATTGATTTTAATTGAAAAATAGTATTAGAAACACTTCAGAAGTTTTATTTAAATTCTGTGTTAGGGTTATAGAGGAAAAAACTTGAAAAGAAATGTGATAGAAATAAATTTTCATTAAAAAAATGGATACGGTTTGTTATAAGAATAAGAATATCTCTATCATTTTGAAATTTTAGTATGGTTTTAGTTCATGATAATTTTGTTTATAAATTATATTTTGATGGGTTAAAAATATTGTATATAAATTATTTTTAATTTTGATTCCAAATTATGTAAGATTTATGAATGTATGTCGTCAAGTATGCACAACTTGTTTAGATTCGGGTGGAAAATCAGGAAGTTAAGATTTAAAAAAATCGAGATGAGAAAGAGTAAAAAAAAAATAACTTTCTTATTTATGTGCAAAGAAAATAAAAAAAAATTAACTTTCTTATTTATGTGTAAAGAAAAGAAAAGAAAAATAACCGTGTCTTCTCTAATTGATTCAAATTTTTCTAAAAAATATTAAAATAATAAATTTATTTAAAATTAATAAATTAATAGTTTTATTAATCATATCAATTTTTATCTTCTATAATTTTTTTATTATTTTTCTTTTTATTTAAACAACTTCACTTTTTTTCTTCATCTTCACAAATTAATTCTTCGATAAAAACGCACATTAAAAATATTATATCGTATTTTGGAGAAAAAACATAGTTAAGACATTACACATGAAAGGAAGTTTAGATGTTGGTGATTTGTTAGAGATTTCAAGTCAATGATATCGTCCCACATCCCAAGTTGGTGATGTTAAAAGTGTTAGGTTTGATATCCAAATCACAATCCATATCCAAATATGTCGGTGCCACATTAAAAGTTTAATTTTTTTTTTTTTTACCAAGTGTGAAAATTTTATCAGTTTTATTTAAAACAAAAAAAAATTAAATTATCCTAATTTTAATTTAAATTGAATGATATCAAATATAGACTCATTAAGTGAATATATATATATATATATATATATATATATATATATATATATATATATATATATATATATATGATTATCACATACATGATTACCAAAATAAGTATATAAAAAAACCAAAACTATGTCTCATCAAATAATGATAAATGATGAAGAGATAAGAAGTAGCTAAAAGTATTATTTCAACCATAAAAGTAGTTTAAATTTTAAAGACTAAAACTATGAAGTGAAATTGAAAAACCATTATAAAGCACCGACTACATAAAAGGCTAAATAGTTTATAAATGATTTTTACTATTAAGAAATGAGAAAATGTCCCAAATTTGACTAGAAATAGTAGTAGTTTGGACTATATATAATATAACAGTAAAACCCAACAAATACGTCCCAAATGTGTTGAAGGCGTGATCAGAGGTTGGTGGAAAAAATGAAAAAAAGAAACAGAGGGTTACTTATTAAAATGGTAACGTTGGTCATTATTTCTTTTCAATATTTTAAATCTTAGAAAATTTCTGATCAAATATTTTATATATACTAGTCGAAATACACATTTCGTATTTTATGTACAAATATCTCTTTTTTTTCTCCATTCCTTCTATGGCATATCTTTTTCTTTCATATATTTTAACATATTTTAAATATATAAATTATAATAATTGGTCTTTTTAAATAATGATATTTTTATTTTTCTTTCTCTCATAATATAAAACCCAATTATAATTTTGATATTTTCTTTTTCGTTTTAATCTTAAATTCTTCTATTCAATTTTGGATTGTGGTTTTTCTTTATCGCTGAATCCAAATCAATATTATCATTAGATTTTTTTAATTATTAAATGGTTCTTTTAATAAAAAAGTTTTAAGTATTATGAGAGAAAAGGTTCTTCTTTTTTGCTACTATTGTTACTCGTCAAATATAATAGAAAAGGTAATAATCAATCTTTAGGAATAGTAGATGATAAAGTTTAATTTAACGAAGAACAAATTTTCTTTTAAGATAAGTTAAAAATCAAACAATATACTTTTTATTATTCTAAAATCACTATTTCTCTAATATCTCTAGTGAGTGGATATAAATTGCAGCTCATATACATTTTGATACGAGTCTGAAACAACCTAAAAGTGTGAACATCACCAGGCTGTTTTAAGGCTTCGGCCTACTTCCTAAATTATTGCAACCCTCACTCAGCTACGCTTTTCGGCTTCCACACAATACTTAATACATAAATCGTTGCTACCGAATTGTCAAACTCATTAGACCGCCAATTGTGAACCAAGACTCTTACATCAGGCCAACTTTTGGGCACAGAATATACATGGGAAATTGGCAAGTTTAGGTGCATCATTTACCATGCAGGGATACCCTATTTATTTGGGACAAAGGCAACAAATTTCGTGAGAAGAGGGGTCCTTTATAACTCATCCACCAAGCCAGTGCCAAACAATGTACACGCCGGACTATTTTGGTCAAGACCACCGTTCCAATCTTACCATTTCATACATTTTGGTCGTCCAACAATTTCTAGCACTAAATAAATTTTAAAATAATAGATTTTAAACGATTATATATCTTACTCTATATATAAAGAAATTTATATAATTAGTATCACCCATGTAGTTCACAAGATATATACATTCTTACTTTTTCACCAATTCATTCATTTGATTGTTCTACCTTTATTTGTCATTATTCAATACATAAAATTCATTTAATTTAATTATTTTGTTTATATTCTTTTAAATAAAGACTTAATAATTTCTATATCAAAAACACTTCACAAATTTCAATATTACCAATAATTTTATTTTATCAAAATGAAGATGTTTTTCATAGTTTAAACTATTTATATCGAAAACAATATAACATCTAATTCATCTTATTATATATCCACAAATAAAATAAAATAAAAGACAACTGACTACTCCATTGTTAGTAACATTGGTTATACGATTCATTATTCCATCATTGATAACATCGATTATCACTAGTTTCCCCTGTTATTTCCCTACACATGCATGGAAACAAGAAAAAATGTTAATTTATATCGAACGAGGTTACATGATACAGATGTTAACACTAGTGGACCGAGTAACACTAACAACCCAATTGATGTGAACGGGCTAATAATAAGAAAAAGTTCTAGACAAACTTCAAGGCTAGTTGGTTGGGATGAGTTTATTCACTAAGAGAAATAGTTATTTTTTACAATTATGCATTATGCAGAGTGAGAATAATTTTTGTTAGGATTTGTGTTTGTTTCCGTATTTGGTGAAATTCTATTATAGGGTAGATTTGTTTATAT